ATATGCCTGCCAATATGTTAACCTCATGAGCTACTGAGTACCTGGAATACCATTAGTATAATAAGGAAGTAAATTTCTACTTTAATTAACTAAAATTTAAGTTTACAGAGTTATGTGTGAGTAACAGGTACAATATAGGACAACAAGGCTCTGGAAAACACTGCATGTGTTCACCAGTGTGGGCTTTATATGGGTTAGTGAAGTCTACTCATAAAACACCACTCAAATAGACCAGTGATCCACACTACAGCATGGTCTTCTCGCTTGTTCTGTTTTGCTTTTGTTTGTTTTTGTTGTTTGAGATAGGGTCTCACTATGTACCCTAGATGGCCTGGAATTCATTATGTAGATCAGGTAGGTGTCAAATATGTATTAATTCTCTAGTTCTGCCTCTGAGGTGTCACAGCTGTAGGCATGCACCACTTTGTCGGGTTTCACATCATGTAATTTTATGCGGCCATTACAACCCAAGGAACACTGACATACACCAAATGGAAGCATCTTAAAAATCACAAACACACACAATTTTTTTTAGTGGCTAGATTTTTTTAAAGATTTTTTTGCTACCTGTTTTTTGTTTTGTTTTTTTATGAATTTAAGATTCACATAAAACAGATGGGCTACACAAATCTGGAGAGAGCTATACCAAACTGATACCATGGTAACAGCTCTGAGAAGGCACTGGTAAGGATAGGTACAAGGCATGGTTCAGGAATTCATTTATGAATGTGACATAGTACTTTTGTAACTTTAAAATGAATAATTCTTTTTTAATATTTTATTATTTTTATTTTATTTTATGTGTATGAGTGTATTGCGTGAATGTATGTAAGTGCACTTATGTTGTGCAATGCCTGTGGAGGTCAGAAGAGGGTATTGGAGCCCCTGGAACTGGAGTTATAGACAGTTATTAGCTGCCACCAGGGTGCTGGGAATCAAACCTAGGTCCTCTATAAGAGCAGTCAGTGCCATCTCTCCAGCCCCCAAATGATTAATTTTCTAAAGTATATAATGACAAAACCTGGAGAAAAAAAAAGAAGAAACAGGCTGGCAAGAGGAATCAGCAGGCAAGAGCAGCTGCACCTGCCACCCATCCTGCTGACCTGAGTTTGATTCTCAGAGCCCACCCGGTGGAAGGAAAGAATGGATTCCCCAAAGTTGTCCTCTGATCTCTCCACATGCATGGATGTGCACGTGTGCACACACACACACACACACACACACACACACACACACGTGCACACACATCCTCAATAAATAAATGTAAAAAAAGAAGAAAAACAGTTCTAACCATCATACCAGAGCCATGTGAATGTCCGTGACCTCCATGCTTGAAAACAAATATTCCTACTAGGTTTACCACAAATCCAAGAATGGAGACAAGCAGCAGTCGCTCGTGGTGCACATCTGGAGGGGCCAATGCTCTCTAGAAGACACACAGATCAGAGAGATGGCATTGATATCATTTCTGATTGAGCAACTTGTAAAAAAAATCAGGCGGCATTAAAAATGTTAGTCATTTTCAGAATTAAAAGTGCTCAAAAATATCTACCAAAGTTTAGAGAACTGAAACTAGTGCTCTCTTACTGAAGGAGTCACAGACACTATTTTTAAATACACGTAAACGTGTCAGTGAGAATATCTGGCACCAAACTTCCTCCTCTTTGGCATCTTAGCCTATTCTTTATGTTTGTTAATTGTTACACTTCTGTTTTCAGAGAAATTACACCAAATATTGAAGATTCACTAGCAAAACTCTCAAGTTCTAGCTCTTTCAGAACAGGTCCTAAAAGACCGTGTCGCCCAGACTGCACCTCGCCTTTTCAGTGCCAACGCCTTATTCCGAGCTTATAGAGCACCACTGAATGACTTTCCATTTCCAGATATTACACATATGCCCCATTTTTTTTCAACTATCCTGTAAGCTCCTCCCATACACAGTATATTTTGTCTGATCCAACATTTTCTTCAATAAATAACATAGTTGAAATACTCTGTTACATCTTTAATTGACAAACATTTTCATTGAGAAATGTCATTTACAGATGCTAATGATTATTTACTATACCTCAACTCCTTCTGAGAAAATAAAAAAAGCAGTGAAGATCAAGAAGAGGCCATTGACAAAGCCGGCCAGAACTTCCGCTCTAACATACCTAAAGAAAGGAAGGTAAACAATGAATTATGCCTCTTAAAAATTGAATCATAAACATGTATTTCAGAGATTCTAAACCACAGTACATGATTTTAAGGGCCAGCAAAGTCCTAATACTTACATAATGTATTTTATATAATACTGTAGAAATGGAGAATTAATTTATTCTGAACTACATTTAATAGTGGAGTGCTGCAGAGCATACACACTTGCAGAAGGCAACCAGAAGACAGTAAGGAGTCTAGAAGGGCCTGCCACAGAGATGTAAACCTCAAGCTGTCAGTGGAGAAAGAAGAACAAGACCAAACAAGTGGACAAAGAAGGAAGGATCCAAAGGCAGAAAGTAAGAGAGGTCTGGAAAACAGGATTCTCACAACCTACTTCTTCCTCCTTTTCTTAGAACTCTTACACTCCACTTTGTCCCCTACAGCTCTGAAACCCTTACAAAACGGAGCTCCGATCTCAAATAAAATTAAATTATCACTGAATTATGCCAGAGACAACTTTCTATTTATACTTTTTATCTTTTTTTAAAACTAATAAACTTAGCAAAACCTTCCAATTATGCATTTTTAGACTCGATTCTCCCTTCCCATCATTCTGATGAAACTACTTTACAGTATCTGTCTTTCCTCCATGGACTGCTGAAGCTTCCTGCTTCCTGCCTGTGTGAAGCATTGAGAAACAGCTTTCACTTAGCATTTTTACATGTCCAACCGTTATTCAAAGTATCTCCTTACACCAACATTATAAAAGCATCAAAACTGCTTTTTCAGACACTGTGGTGGCACACAGTGCCAATCCCGGCACTCAGAAGGCCAAGACAGCAAGGATCACAAGCTCCAGGCCAACCTGAACTAAATACAGACTGTATTAAAAAGTGTTTTTAGGGCAGGGCATGGTGGCACACACCTTTAATAACAGCGCTTAGGAGGGAGAGGCAGGTGGATCTCTGTAAGATAAAAGTCAGCATAGTAAGAGTTCCAGGCCGGCTGGAACTACAGGGAGATCCTGTCTCAAAAAAAAGTGGGGGTGGGGAGGGGAGGTTGGAGAGATGACTGGTTGTTCTTGCAGAGGACCTCAGCTCGGTTCCTAGCACCCACATGGTGACTAACAACCATCCATAACTCCAGGATCTGATGCTCTCTTCTGACCTCCGTGAGCAGGGCACTGCATGACACAGTTGCACTGACATGTAGGCAAAACACTCATACAGATTAAATAAAAACAAATAAATCAAAAAAAGTTTTTTGTTGCTTTCTATCTTAACTTCTAAACATAATTTTTATAAAATAGCACCCACATGGTGACTAACAACCATCCATAACTCCAGGATCTGATGCTCTCTTCTGACCTCCGTGAGCAGGGCACTGCATGACACAGTTGCACTGACATGTAGGCAAAACACTCATACAGATTAAATAAAAACAAATAAATCAAAAAAAGTTTTTTGTTGCTTTCTATCTTAACTTCTAAACATAATTTTTATAAAATATTTTTGTAAAAAT